CTTTTTGTATTTTCACCTTCTCCAGGAGAACTGTGTCAGTTCTAAACCTGTATCTGAGCTTCACAGTGGATAAGATGAGGCTGAACAATCTTAAATTCAATCCAGACAAGTAATGGGTTGGGGGCTTTGGACTGGTCTAGTCTTGGACAGGATAAGGGGTGTGCTTTAGTTGTGGATTCATGGAGGACACCTTTACAATTTGTTCCTATTTTTCAGGTGGGGCAGTACCAGTTTGAGATTCAAATCCATGTTTTTGTTGGGGGGTCTGGAATTTGGGGATAATTATTCTCATTGGGGGAGCCAATTCAAGGGTCTGGTGTGGCTATTTTTAAAGCTAATGGCACCAGATATGCATACAACATATTCCTCCCTCTAGTCTAAGACCCCCTGAGGTTTAAGGAGAATGGACAATGGGGTTCAGTTTTACAGATCCCCAAAAGTAGATGCCCTTCAGGGTACTTGTCTGCACTGGGGGTTTTTGGGGGGGGGCATGATGGGTGCCCAGCAGGAGAGTGTCATCTGTTAGCATTAAAAAAAAATCCTGATTGCATCCAGTTTTTAAATATAATCTTACAGTGACTGACTAGGTGGGGTCTCTTATTGCTTTGAAAATGTCATTCAGCTCAGAGCAGCTGCTGCTGGCCTTAAAAATTCCTTTCTGGGTCATCTCCAGTGCTGATTGGCTGGGGGCACTCTCCTGATTCCTTACAAGGATCAAATTGAAACGAAGAAATGCCAATGCCTGGGAAATCAGGAGAATCAAAGAAAAACAGTATACCTGTTGCTGTTGACTATGGTAAGAATCTGAACACACACACACACACAAAGGATTTTTTCCATGGGGTGGGGGGGGTCACCATAAGTTGGCTGCAACTTGAGACCAAAGTAAAATTTTAAAAAATCATCCAATGTTCAGAGCCTTTTAGAATCTGGGTGCATTTTTACAGGGGTTTTCCCCACACACACTATTTTGGAAAACCATAAAAATATTGTAAGCAAATTAAATAATAAAAAAGATCCAGTGTACTTTTTATAAAATTAAAAAAGTTCTCCGTAGTGAATGCTGATGTCAAATATTCTTCTCTACAGACTGTACACTGGTATTTTCAATCCCTGTCTCAGTCCCCAACTATCCTCTAGTTCTAAGTGTCATAATTTTTCCTAGTTTCTTTGGTGTAGTATAGAGTCTCTATGGTACACTACAGAAATAGAAATCTTAGAAGATCCATTCTCTGTAGCTACTCTAGGACTTCTATTTCTCCCAGACTCTGTATTTATTCAAGGGGAACTGATCTCTGTAGTCTGGAACTCAATTGTAATTCTATGAGAACTCCAGGTCTCCTTTACCAACCTTTTGGAGTTCTTTGAGAAAGTAAACAAGCATGTAGACAACACTGACCCAGTAGACATGATATCCTTGGACTTTCACAAGACTTTTGTCAAGGTACCTCACCAAAGACTTCTGAGTAAATTTAGCAGTCATGGGATGAGAGGATGGATTCTTTTATGGATTAAAGCTGTTTAAATGACAGGAAGGAAAAAGTGGAAATAAATGGACAGTTCTCACGAATGGAGGGAAGTAAGCAGTGGGGTCCCACAAGGATCAGTGTTGGAGCTGGTACTATCTAATTTATTCATCAATGACCTGGAACTAGGGGTGAGTAGTGTAGTGGCCAAGTTTGCAGATGACAAAAAAATTATCCAGGATGGTGAAAACCAAGGCTCACTGTGAAGAGCTCCAAGAGGATCTCGACAAACTGGGTGAGTAAGTAACAATGTGGCAAATTAAATTTAGTGTTGGTAAGTGTAAGGTGATGCACATCGGGACAAAAAAATCCCTATTTCAAGTATAGGCTTAATGGAGTCTGAACTTGCTGAGACTGAGAGGGAAAAAGATCTTGGAGTAATAGTGGACAGCTCGATGAAAGTGTTAACCCAGTGTGCTGCAGCGGTGAAAAAGGCAAACTCTGTGTTAGGGATTATTAAGAAAGGGATTGAGAATAAAATGGCCAGTATTGTAATGCCCCTGTATAGATCACTGTATTTCAAAAAGGACATTGCAGAGCTGGAAAAAGTGCAGAGGAAGGCATGATTAAGGGGTTGGAGCACCTTCCCTATGAGGTAAAGCTGAAGAGTCTGGGACTTTTCAGTTTGGAAAAGAGATGACTAAGGGTGGGACATGATAGAGGTTTATAAAATTATGCATGGAGTGGAGAGAGATGGCAAAGAGAACTTTTAGCCCCCGTCCAAAATATTAGAACTTGAGGGCATCCGATGAAGCTGAAGGGCAGTAAGTTCAGGATGGACAAAAGGAAATACTACTTTACACAGAGAGGGATTAAAATGTGGAATTTGCTGCCAGGGGGATGGCCACAGGAATAAGCACCTTTAAAGGGGGATTAGATAGATATATGGAGGATAAGTGCCATGGTGACTGAGGGGAACCCCCACATTCAGAGGCACTAAACCTCTGTATCCCAGAGCCAGGAGGCAACATTAGGGGAAAGACTTGGCATCTATGTCCTGTTGTTGGCCCTCCAGAGGAACTGGTTGGCCACTGTGTGAGATAGGATGCTTGACTAGATAGATCACTGGTCTGATGCAGCAGGGCTCTTCTTTTGTTCTTAATTTTGTATGTTCTCTCCCTGCAAAGCACCCCTAGCAAATATAATGGTTTGCAGTGCTTCTAATAAACCTCAGGGAGCCCATTCCATTGAGTAAGAGCTAGAATAGGAAAAACACAGCTCCGGTTAATACCTTAAGCAGAGGAACAGCCAGTGGTCGGCAGCATGAGGATTATTATTGGTCTACAGGGACTAGGGGGGGGTGTGTGTTAGATGGTCCCTTAGATTTGTGCGTCCTAGGCCATAGAGGGCTTTAAAGGTAATAACTAGCACCTTAAATTGAACTCTAAAACAAACTGGCAGCTGATTTAGCTGTTTTAAAACAGGAAAGATGTATTCCCGTTGGCTAGACCCTGACAACAATGAGGCTGTGACATTCCAAACCACATGAAGTTCCTGGGTTGTCTACAAGGGCAGCCCAACAGACTGCAATCTAGTAATCCAATACACTAATTGAGGTATTTATTTATTTATTAATCACATTTATACCCTGCCCTCCCCACAATGCAGGCTCAGGGTGGCTCACAGTCAGTACATAAGATACAGTTAAAACCACATAAAACCATATAAAACAATTCCATTATTAATACAGTTTCATAAAGTGCTGAAGATAGTTACTCAAGATGGCTTATTTCAGTGTGCTCTCTAAAAATCCTTCTGCTCAAGATCTTCCTGCGGCTCCGGTTGGATGTTAAAACCAAGGGCCAGGGCTTTATAATGGTGGCAGCACCCTAGCTGAAAGCCTGGCGGAAGAGCTCCGTCTTGTAGGCCCTGCAGAACTGTAAAAGGTCCCACAGGGCCCTGATCTCCTCCGGGAGCTTGTTCCACCAGGATGGGGCCTCCACTGAGAAAGCCCTGGCCCTGGTAGTAGCAAGCCTGGCCTCTTTGGGGCCAGGGAGGGTCAATCGATTTTGAGACCCCAACTGAACTGCTCTCTGGGGTATATATGGGGAAAGGCAGTCCCGCAGGTATGCTAGACCCTGGCGATATAGGGCTTTAAAGGTAAGAACCAGCACCTTGAAGCAGATTCGGTATGCTATTGGCAGCCAGTGCAGTTGCCGCAGCACAGGCTGGATATGCTCCCACTTGGGGAGATCCATCAAAAGCCTGGCTGCAGCATTCTGCACTAGCTGCAGCTTCCGGTATCTCAGATCCAGTGTCATCACTTATCTCTTGAATGTCATCTGGTTCAGCCCTAGTTTGTCTTTTGCTCTTTTTCTTTCTCTGTTACTGATTGCAGTGCATACCTGTTAAGATGGCGGCAAACACTGCCTCTTGCCAGGAGGGTGAAGACTGTATAGCATTGTTCTCCATTCTGCCACCACTTGCTGTGCTGATCGCCTATATGCCAATGTATGCTAGCAAAATGTTTTGCCTCTGTCTGAATAATGTCAGTAGGGCCAAAAGGGGATGTCACTTGCCTCCATCCTCCCCAGTAGGGAACCCCTGTGCCTAGCAAATGCAGCCTGGGAGAGAACAGAATATCAAAAAGCAAACAAACAAGGAGCCATTGCACATACATGGAATCAAATCAAGCCCCCCCGCCTGCCCGCCTGCCTGTGAATCTCTTTGGTGGCAAGGTCTGTGAGTAACTCCTAATTGGTAAAGATCTCTTGCACTTCCATATTAGTTTAGTCACGCTCTCATCATTCAACCTATTTTCCTCTAAGGAGCTCAGGGTCTCACACAGTTAATCTTCACAACAACCCTATGAGTAAATTAGATGGAGACAGAGTGACTGGCACAGGGTGACCCAGGGAGTATGGCTGAGTAGTAAGACACTTTTGATCTTCTTGAACTCTAAAGCACACAAACTACCGGCCAGAACAATGGCCAGTCCCAAATGTTTCTGAACTTTACCGCCTGCTGTTAGTTTGTAAATCCAGATGAGTTATAATAAGTTTCTAAAGATCATAATATAAAAACAGACTGTACTCTAAAGCCCAGAATGTACAACGTACAGATCTGAAATACACCTGGGGTGCATGTCCATATATTTAGGGGGAAAAATAGAAATTGAATAGTACCTGCTTTCCTTGCCCTCACTTTCAATAATCTTCACTTAGCCTATTCTTTTCAGGAAGCACATTGCATAAAACTTTCATGGACTTTGTCTGCCAACTCTGTGGTGTGCTCAGCCTCTTCTAACAACAGATGTTATTACAACTACTCTCCCTCCCACACTGCTTTTGTCAGTCTCACTGACAGTGTAACTGAAGAAGCTTTTTCCTATAGGAGCTGACTGATTGCTCCTCCTGCCACTTTTCTCTCTCGCTCTCTTTCATCTAGTGACCTGCTCAGGGGTGCCATAGGCAGCTGGTTCTCTGACTGGAAAGAGTCAATGGCAATTTTTTGAGGAAGGAGGGGAAAAGAAACATGGTGGAAGAGAGAACATTGTCACCAGAGACTACAGAGGAAGTAGAAAGATTAGTGAGCCTAGCCCAGGGGTCGGGTGCACTCCCTCGGGTCACTTTCAACACTCCAGAGAAGCTCGAGGAAGAATCATGCCACAGAAAGCTGGCCAAATTAACAACCAAGTATAATCGGAAAGATCTTCAGAGGTGGCGAGACCTGGAAGAATGGATTGATGCCCAGCTGCAGGAGCTGTATCAGTACCAGGTGGGTAGGCTGTACCTCACCTGTGCCATGCTCATATGGCCCTATCTACACGATAACATATTATTTATTCTGTCATGGGGCAATGTCTGCCGTGATGGGAAGAGAATTAGCTTCTTTGGCCAATTTGGTACAAACTTTCACTTCTGTTCTGTCTATACACCAGAGGGATGGGGATAATGGAGGTGTATGGGGGGGGAAAGACAGGTCATCTCATTTACCCCTCTATCCCGAGGAAAAGATAAGTTCTATCAAAAACATCTCTGACATACCAGGCAAGCCCAATCTCATCAGATCTTGGAAGCTAAGCAGTACTGGCAAGTACTTGGAAGGGAGACCTCCAAGGAATACCAGGGCTGAGAAGAAGAGGCAGGCAATAGTAAGCCACCTCTCTGAAATGTCCAAGACCCACGAGAGGTCACCAGAAGTAAACCATAACTTCCAGGCATACACACACACAAAATACTCACACAAAAAAAATCTTTGGCATATACTTGGTCATCTTTCCTTGAAAATGTTCAGGATTTCACAGCTTTCTTTGATAGCCCATTAATCTGTGGAATGGCAATCAGAAACTGGTTTCTAATCTTTAATCTAAATCTACCTCTTGTAATTTAACACCATTGTTTTTTGTCCTGTCCTCAGTGGAAAAAATGAATTATGGCTCCACCCTTTTGCTTTCTGAGATCTTTATAGATGTTTGTATAGCGTGAGCATATTCCTTCTAAATGTAGATATTTTCCTCTAGAATTTCATGTCCTTTCATCATAGCTTTACTTGGTTTATTTAGGGCATATTCTATTAATCTATTTAAATTTATTCTATTAAATTTATCCTGCCTTTCCTCTACTTAAAGAGGAATATGTATCCTCACTATCCTCTAAGAGCATTTTAATGTCACAAGCTGAAAAATAGAGATGTCCACAGTCACCCCAGTAAATTTCATAGCTAGATTTGAACCTCAGTTCTCTGTATCCAAATCTAATGCTAGTTATTTTATCCATGCTTGTTTTGTAGATTTTTCTTCATGCTTGCTGCTTCCTCTGGCTCCTTCGTTCATTCATTCATCTCATTTATATCTAGGCTTGCCAAGTCCCCCCGGGGGGCGGGGAAACCCCCGCCCAAGAGGCCCGTTACCCGCCGCCGGGGAATCGGGCCCCAGGGGGAACCCCACCCCCAAAGCACGTGACGTGCCCAGAGTCAGCACATCACACGGAAGTGATGCAGTCACGTCAGGCGCGTTGGGGGCGGGGCCGCGGTCATCCGAGGGGAAACTCTATGGTTTTCCCTCGGATGATTGTGGCCCTGCCCCCAGCATGCCCAACGTGGTTCGTCACTTCTGGGTGATGTGGTTGCGGCACGTGCGCACTTCACGGGCGCACACGGACTCTCAGAGCAGCGCTGGAGTCCCCCACTGTACATACAGCGAAGACTTGGCAACCATATTTATATCCCGCCCGCCCTGCCAAGGCAGGGGCAGGGCAGCTCACATAAAATATAAGACAGTTAAAACAGAAATTAGATAAAAACAGAGCAATACAATTATAAATATTATAAGATATAAAATATAAAGTGCTAGTTTATATCAGATGGCGAGCTTAGCAGCATCCTCAGCCAACAGCCAGCCAACAGCATAGTCTGGGTTAACTGGCTGTTGACAATGATGTTGGTGTTGGGCCAGGGCTACAGTTTCTTGGGTGCGTCTCCCTAATTGAAGGCATGGTAGAAGAGCTCCATCTTGCAGGCCCTAAACCAGCACCTTGAACCAAATTTGGTATGCTGTAGGCAGCCAGTGCAGTGCTTTTAGCACAGGCCAGATGTGCTCCTGCATAGGGAGGCCCAACAGCAGCCTGACCGCTGCATTCTGCACCAGCTTCAGCTTCCGGATTTGGGACAAGGGCAGCCCCAACTTGTCAGTATCTCAAATAGTGATACTCATAAGTAGGGTTGCCAGCTCTGGGTTGGGAAATACCTGGAGATTTGGGGGGTGGAGCCTGAGGAGGGCAGAATTTGGGGTATAATGCCATAGAGTCCACCTTCCAAAGCAGCCATTTTATCCTGGTGAACTGCTGTCTGTTGCTGAGAGATCAGTTGTAATCCCAGGAGATCTCCAGCCACTACCTGGATATTGGCAACCCTAAAGTGAACACTTTAATGCTGCATTCAGATATCATTACAAGTGTGAGTCTGGTTCATTATTCTCAGATTCACAGAATGCTTCACTCTTCCCCTCACAGTTTGTCATGACGTTGTAATGCAGGTGCCTTAACAAACAGCCTAAACCTTCATATTAAAACTAGAACAGGACAGGAAGCCAGTGAAGATGTAAAAACACTCCTGCTGATGGGCCCATATTAGCAAAGATTCAGTTTTTACCATGAATATAAATCTCTATGGTTTTATGATGTTCCATTTGGGAACAGGTATGAGCATCTAAAGGCTTAGTTCCAACCACTAGTATCCCCTTCACCTGTGACCTGCCATTGCTCTTTCTTTTATTATTTCCTGCTTTGTAGGTCTTTGCATATAAACGCTCAGCCAACTCTTGTTCTATGAACACTGGGTGCCCCCTCCACATTTAGTTGGATTACAGCAGAAGGTATCTGCCACTTTGATGAGCCTGGTTCTAGGCGCTAATGTGCCACATAACCATCTACCAAATTGTCATGGGTCAGCCAGGGCTCAGTGAGAGTGAGGACTCCTCAGGAGAAGAGGAGTCCCATGTAGCTAGCTCTGAGTCAGCAGAAGCTGGCAAGCAGGAAGATGAGCTGCAGGCTTGTCACGATTCGCAGCCAACAGCTGGTGCACCCTCCAGCCCTGTTTCAACAGGTGAGACTCAGTTTATCGTTTCCAGTCCTCCAATACCACCCACACCCTTAGAGCGCCACAGACAGAGGCTAAGAACAGAACTACATGAGAGATGACAAAGTGCGCACCTCCTGGCCTGATGCCAGCTGCTTGAGTAGTTGCAGGATTACTCCTGAGCAGCTGGCTGCAAGCATGACCCTTAAGCATATAGCTATAAAAACCAGCCAAAGGAGGTTGTTAGGTGTGGAAGCATCAAGTTGAAATATCTCTGACAACTGCATTGGATCCTGTCTCTACCCTATGACTCTTTGGACTGTTTCCTGACTGTCCTGCTCCTGAACCTGCTTGTGAGTAAACCTGGGATTCTCAGACCTTGCTGTATGGACTGGCTCTTGGACTAGACTCCTGACTCCATGCTAACCTGGACCTTGACTATGCTTTTGGAGCTGGTGCTCTTGCCTTACTTGCTCCGTGTTCTGACAGCATGCCCTATGCCATTCCTGGCCTGGCTTGTGACACAAATAACTTCACAGTCTTCTGCTGCATTTTAATCCAATCCAAGGAGCCCAGGGCAGTATTTGTGGTTCTCTTGTCCTGTTTTGTCCTGACATTGATTAGACTGGAAGAGTCTGGCCCAAGGTGGCATTATGCCTGAGTCAGAACTTGAACCTGAGTCTCCCCAGTCATAGTTCAGCACTCTAACCATTATATCACCAGTGATCCTCTGGCAACAAAAATCCTGGGAAAAGCTTCTCTGGGCACACAAGCCAGTGCCTCAGTTCATATGGACTGATCTCTTCCCTCTATAGCACTGTTGTTTTGCTCCATTTTCCAGACTGCAGGGGCTAGCAACTCCTTCAATAAAGTGAGAAAATATTATAAGATATAAAATATAAAGTGCTAGTTTATATCAGATGGCGAGCTTAGCAGCATCCTCAGACAACAGCCAGCCAACAGCATAGTCTGGGTTAACTGGCTGTTGACAATGATGTTGGTGTTGGGCCAGGGGGCTACAATTTCCCTAATTGAAGGCCTCGTGGAAGAGCTCTGTCTTGCAGGCCCTGCAGAATTGTAAGAGGCCCCGCAGGTTTTGCACACCTCCTGTCTACTATGTTTGTGCTCTTTAAGAGGAAATTGTGAGGTACATAACGATTGTATTGGGAAAAGCAATGAAGTAAGGGGAGCGAGCTCTTTAAAAATTAAACCAGTTCTGATATGTCCTTTACAGTTAGGGTCAGCTGTGTAGGCTGTTCAGACCTGTTTCCATACAGGAACTTTGTGATGGCCCTGCCCTTCAATCTGAATTCCAGAGCTTGTCTTCCTGTTACAACTTGTCCCATGTTTTCCTTTGCAGTGTGAATATTACCAGGCTTATCAAAGGCAGGTAAAGAGCAGTAAGTTATTCTACATTCCTCAAGGCCTAACAATTACCATTTAAAGGAATTCATTAAGATAACAAGCAAATATGTTTATTCTTGAATTTTGCCCAGAGCATGCAACATGTGGAATCAACCACACACAAACACCCACTGTGTAGTGGATTGCTGTTGAGAATGGTGCAAAGGCAAAATAAGTTGTTCCATGTCTGTACATCCTTGTTTAATGGGGTTGCCAGCTCTGGGTTGGGAAATACCTGGAGATTTGGGGGGTGGAGCCTGAGGAGGGCAGAATTTGGGGTATAATGCCATAGAGTCCACCTTCCAAAGCAGCATTTTATCCTGGTGAACTGCTGTCTGTTGCTGAGAGATCAGTTGTAATCCCAGGAGATCTCCTGCCACTACCTGGATATTGGCAACCCTAAAGTGAACACTTTAATGTTGCTTTCAGATATCATTACAAGTGTGAGTCTGGTTCATTATTCTCAGATTCACAGAATGCTTCACTCTTCCCCTCACAGTTTGTCATGACGTTGTAATGCAGGTGCCTTAACAAACAGCCTAAACCTTCATATTAAAACTAGAACAGGACAGGAAGCCAGTGAAGATGTAAAAACACTCCTGCTGATGGGCCCATATTAGCAAAGATTCAGTTTTTACCATGAATATAAATCTCTATGGTTTTATGATGTTCCATTTGGGAACAGGTATGAGCATCTAAAGGCTTAGTTCCAACCACTAGTGTCCCCTTCACCTGTGACCTGCCATTGCTCTTTCTTTTATTATTTCCTGCTTTGTAGGTCTTTGCACATAAACGCTCAGCCAACTCTTGTTCTATGAACACTGGGTGCCCCCTCCACATTTAGTTGGATTACAGCAGAAGGTATCTGCCACTTTGATGAGCCTGGTTCTAGGCGCTAATGTGCCACATAACCATCTACCAAATTGTCATGGGTCAGCCAGGGCTCAGTGAGAGTGAGGACTCCTCAGGAGAAGAGGAGTCCCATGTAGCTAGCTCTGAGTCAGCAGAAGCTGGCAAGCAGGAAGATGAGCTGCAGGCTTGTCAGGATTCACAGCCAACAGCTGGTGCACCCTCCAGCCCTGATTCAACAGGTGAGACTTAGTTTATCGTTTCCAGTCCTCCAATACCACCCACACCCTTAGAGCGCCACAGACAGAGGCTAAGAACAGAACTACATGAAAGATGACAAAATGCACACCTCCTAGCTTGATGCCAGCTGCTTGAGTAGTTGCAGGATTACTCCTGAGCAGCTGGCTGCAAGCATGACCCTTAAGCATATAGCTATAAAAACCAGCCAAAGGAGGTTGTTAGGTGTGGAAGCATCAAGTTGAAATATCTCTGACAACTGCATTGGATCCTGTCTCTACCCTATGACTCTTTGGACTGTTTCCTGACTGTCCTGCTCCTGAACCTGCTTGTGAGTAAACCTGGGATTCTCAGACCTTGCTGTATGGACTGACTCTTGGACTAGACTCCTGACTCTATGCTAACCTGGACTTTGACTATGCTTCTGGAGCTGGTGCTATTGCCTTACTTGCTCCGTGTTCTGACAACATGCCCTATGCCATTCCTGGCCTGGCTTGTGACACAAATAACTTCACAGTCTTCTGCTGCATTTTAATCCAATCCAAGGAGCTCAGGGCGGTATTTGTGGTTCTCTTGTCCTGTTTTGTCCTAACAATAATGGTTGGTTAGACTGAAAGAGTCTGGCCCAAGGTGGCATTATGCCCGAGTCAGAACTTGAACCTGAGTCTCCCCAGTCATAGTTCCGCACTCTAACCATTAGATCACCAGTGATCCTCTGGCAACAAAAATCCTGGGAAAAGCCTCTCTGGGCACACAGCTAGTGCCTCAATTCATATGCACTGATCTCTTCCCTCTGTAGCACTGTTGTTTTGCCCCATTTTCCAGACTGCGGGGGCTAGCAACTCCTTCAATAAAGTGAGGTGGTAGCTTGCCCACCATTCAAGAGTTGCTGAGATATTTCTCTCTTCTGCTGTAATGATGCCAGTAGGCTTTACAAAAGTTCCAGCAAACAGCTGTACACATGCATAAAAATGTCTAATGACAGGCTGGCAGAACTGTTGTCGATGTGTGCATGCTTTACATGCTTGAAATGTCTTTTGTTCTGAGGGACATCCTGCATTTTGCACACCTCCTGTCTACTATGTTTGTGCTCTTTAAGAGGAAATTGTGAGGTACATAACGATTGTATTGGGAAAAGCAATGAAGTAAGGGGAGCGAGCTCTTTAAAAATTAAACCAGTTCTGATATGTCCTTTACAGTTAGGGTCAGCTGTGTAGGCTGTTCAGACCTGTTTCCATACAGGAACTTTGTGATGGCCCTGCCCTTCAATCTGAATTCCAGAGCTTGTCTTCCTGATACAACTTGTCCCATGTTTTCCTTTGCAGTGTGAATATTACCAGGCTTATCAAAGGCAGGTAAAGAGCAGTAAGTTAGTCTACATTCCTCAAGGCCTAACAATTACCATTTAAAGGAATTCATTAAGATAACAAGCAAATATGTTTATTCTTGAGTTTTGCCCAGAGCCTGCAACATGTGGAATCAACCACACACAAACACCCACTGTGTAGTGGATTGCTGTTGAGAATGGTGCAAAGGCAAAATAAGTTGTTCGGTGCCTGTACATCCTTGTTTAATGCATAGAAATATAAAATTTGCCAGCTGACAAGTATTGAGTGAAAGAAGAGGCAATAAAAAAATCCAGAAGACAAGTGCATGCTCATTCAAGATGACACTTACAAACCATTCTGGCTAGGCAGGGCTGCACAGGGCACAGAGACAAAGATCCCCTCTGTCCTTCTCACACCGCCTGGACTGAACCAGCACAGGAAAGCAAGTCATCAAACTTACCTGGTTCTTTGGATGACCAGGGGTCTTGGAGCTTTGTCCTCCTCATTCCTGTCTCAGCAGCCCTGTGGTTAATTGGCAGTCTTAGTTACTATACTGGATTCATAAGTACATGCCTAGAATTATTTATTGTTATTTGCAACATGTACATCATTCAAACAAGAAGAGATAGAGAGAGAAAAACAGTAGCAGCTTTTTGTTGAACATTTTCAGAGGTACAAATAGCAAAATCTGCATCTGAGATTAACTTAAATGAAGGACAAACTACATAGAGCAAAGATTGCCGGTAGCCATGTTGATCAGGTGAGGTCTCCACCATGGGGCATCTGGAGCAGCTGCTCCAGATTGGGTGGCCCTTGACACACACACCCCAAATGACCCCACACCTCCCCCAACAGAGGGGTAAAGATGAAGACGAGCTGGGTGGCTGCACTCATCTGCCCCTTCTGGGGCTTGGCCAAGGGCGGGCTGGCTGGTTCAGTGGTCATGATGTGTCAAGCCCTCCAGGGCTTGGGCAGCAGCTGTCTAGATCAGTAATCACCCAGTGTACCCATCCCCTGACCCTCATCTTGCACAAGGTGGGGGGCATGCCTTGAGCCTGGGGGGAGTTAGAGGGGGTGGTGTCTGTGGGTGGCAGTGATTCCAGTGGCTCTGGGAAGTGGCAGTGATTCTGAGGCCCCATCCTGGACTTTGCCCAGGGCCCCATAATCACTGTTATTTATTGCAAAACACCAAGGATCCCAACAAATCTTTGTATACAGCTTTTGTAGATCCAACAGCTTCCTTTGATTCAATTGATACAAAATGGCTTTGGTTGAAATTGGCAGATACAACACTGGAACTCCACACCAACATTTTCACTAAAACAAAGGTGGCCATCTCAGGCTGCCAAGCCTACCTGAGGAGATCCCAGTGACCAGAGAAGTAAAAAAAGGGGAGGCATGCTTTGGCCCCACTGCTTTTCAATTTATACTTAAATGACATCATTCCAAAGTTATCAGCCCCTAAGTTTGTTCCATCTTCTTTAAATTCCCATAAAATATCAATATATGCTGATGATATGGTTCTGGTGTCTCTCACATGCATTGGCCTCAAACAGATGCTGCAAAAGTTCAACAATTTCTGCAGAGAAGGGGCCTTAAACATTAACCATACTAAGACCAAAATAATAGTCTTTAGAAAAAGGCCTGGAAATGTTTAGTGAACCATTGATGGCACCCCGATAGATCACTACAGCAGCTTTAAAAATCTTGGGGTAACCTTTAGTGAAACTCTGTCTTGGATGGCTCGTTTGGCAGTCTATGATTTTAAGAACAGTAGGCCCTATTCTGAAATTCTACAGCACAAAGGGAGGTTTTTTGATAGACCCAGCTCTGAAATTAGATCAGAGTAAGGCTGTTCCTCAACTTCTATTTGGAGTAAAGGTTTGGGGTTGGAATGATCACCTGGTCACAAAGTTGGAATCCATCCAAAAATCTTTTACTAAAGAGACTTTTAGCCCTGCCTAGAGGCACCCCAGCAGCTCTGATGTGCTCAGAACTTGGTTTGCCTTCAGTCAGGGCCTATGTACATTTATTTGTACATTTATTTGTACATTTATTTATTATTAAATTTATATCCTGCCCTCCCCAAATGGGCTCAGGGTGGCTAACAGAAGAGGCATATGCCATAATTCAACAACTAAAAACAGAATAAAACAATCAATCACAAACAAAGTACTGGTGCTCTAGAGAATAAGCTCTTATCAGTCCAAGATGGGGTTCCATTAACCAGCATAACCCATCAGCATAACCAGTTCTTTCATAACCAGTTCTTCAGTTCATCTGATTGTCTTGCCAGGGCCAGCTCACATCCTGGTAGAATCCATCGTCAAAGATGGCAACTCGGTGGTGGTACAGTAGCAGTGGTGGCTCCTACCCTGTTTCCCTGAAAATAAGACCTACCCCCAAAATAAGCCCTAGCAGGATTTCTATGCATTTGTGGTATAAGCCCTGGTGTGTCTTCTTGAGAAAAAATAAATATAAGACAGTGTCTTATTTTCGAGGAAACACGGTATATGAAAGCCTGGCAGAAGAGCTCTGACTTACAGGCCCTGCGGAACTGCATAAGGTCTTGCAGGGCCCAGATCTCCTCCGGGAGCTCATTCCACCAGATAGGAGCCACCACCGAAAAGGCAGCCAACTTGATGTCATCATGCTTATATTCTAGACGAAGCAAAGGAATGACACTACCAGTTTACTCTGCAGGCAATATCTCGTGATGATGCAGAAAGATGCTACCTTAGTAGTTTGCTACAACAGTAACTGGGTGTTCAAGTGTGACACAGTTACAGATAGACGGTCTTCAGCGCCAACTTTTTACTCTGATTTAAATTGATTAAAAGGGACCTTGTCAGAGCCTCCTACCTGTCTACATTACCCTTCATGATTACCCTTTACATCTGTTTGGTTCCAGACCATGCCAACAGCTTTGCTTGATGGTCACTACTCCAAAAAACAATTTGCTTGCACTTTTGTACATGCAGAGCTCTGGTTATGAAGGATTTACCCCATTATATTCTGCCCTCTTTACACAGAGCCTAGAACCAGATTTCTTGCAGCATTCTTGAAGGGCGTAAACTCTTCCTCAAAAGCAGAGAAGCTGACTTTCCTTTTCTCAGATACTCACACGTTTCATACCATCTTGTTTACTTTGGCAGCTAGGAAAATACAAGCAAAAGCTGTGTCTGAAGGGCAAAATGTTTGAATATGATAAGTAGTTTTAGATCTGGTTATTTTAATGATGTTTTTATGATTTATGTTTTATCTTCTCTTGATTAATTGTAATGGCCTTTGGCTATATGCAACAATGCTATCTGATCTATTTAGGATATTTCTATGTCACCTCTTCACAGTTCTGCTCCTCAGACCACCTTTGATGTTGGTTCACTAGGGGGGAAATATTAATACCTTTAGAACCAACCAAATTGTCACAAAGCCGTGGGCAAACTTTTGAGTTCCTCAAAACTCTTCAGTACAAAAAAAACAAAAAAATGTTTCTAAAAAATATTTTACTGCGTAGAACAAAAAACCAAAAGTCTTCATGTTGTAACCATCCTGCATTGAAGACAAGGAGGTGTTGCTGACTTAGCGTGAGCTAAAAGGGATGCTGCCACATAAGAACTTACCTGTATGGCATTGCATGTGTCCCATTTCATTTTTAACCTGGATCACTACACATGCAGTGCTTCTACACCTGCTCCATTAGGATGCCAGCACAACACCCATCTGGGCTACAGAGTTCTAGCATGCTAACATTCCATGTGCAGTGAATGAGGCCCTGGCTTAAATGAGCCTCTTAGTACATGCACAGTCACACAGAGCCAATTTGGTGTGGTGGTTAAGAGGGGTGGACTCTGATCTGGAGAACAGGGTTTGATTCTCCACTTTTCCACATGCAGCCAGCTGGTTGACCTTGGGTGAGTCACAGTTCTCTCAGAACTGTCCCCTCAGGAGCAGTTCTCTTAGAGATCTCTCAGCCCCACCCACCTCACAGGGTATCTGTTGTGAGGAGAGGAAGGGAATGAGATTGTAAAGCGCTCTGAGACTCCAAGTGAAGGGTGGGGTATAAATCCAATTTCTTCTTCCTCTTCCCCTTCTTCTTTCCCACCAGCATCACCTTTAAACCCTGCCTTAATTAGATTATGATGCTGATGACAAAAACAGGTTTCAAGATGCACCAATGGCCATTGGCATAGAGAAGGTAACTGATCCCTTGTTCTGCCTCATCTATTTTCTCTTACTGCTCTGAGCCAGATCCTTGGCCGGGGTTCTTATAATCTCTCCTGTTTGCTGATTCTTCTTCCATTCTTAGTCCTTACATGATCTTTATTAATTTGCCCCCCCATTCAATTAAATCATTCCCCAAACACCTTCTCCTCTCCACTTCTCAACAGTTCCTTCTGTGTTGTGTGTCTGTTAAGTGCTGTCCAGCTGCTTCTGACCCATCTTCAGCTCACACCAAGAGAAACCATTGCCCAGTCCCTAAACAATTCCTCTTCCAAAATCACCTGCTCACTTTCTCCTGAGGTGTCCACAGATACCCACATATCTTATGGCTCTGGGAATGGATCTTTTGCTCCCAAGAGGCAGGCCCCTTCTAAACATCCCAAAAGGCCAAGCCAGGGATTGTGAGACCCATGCAGAGACCCAGTCACACCTCTCCTAAGGAGGAGAAATAGGCGGTGCTGATCAGAAAAGCTTGAAGGATCCAATCCAGGAGGTTCTCATGACTATCTGCAATGCAATAGAAAATATGTTAAAGTTGTTAGTCTTCTCTAGTTCCAGGAGGAGACAGAAGCAACAGCTGCCCCAGAGCCTGAAATTGACATCGAAGATCTTCTTGAAGTCTCTAATGAGGAACAGAAATCAAGACTACAGGTAGACAGAGGGACAAGAAACATTATTCTCCTTTTCAGAACTAGAAGATGGGGATAGCCAAAGAGGGGTAGAGCTAAATAGGCCATGAAAAAGTCAGACAGGAGGCCCACTAATACTTGGCTCCCTTGTTGTGAATTGTCACAGTGCTACCCTCGCCCCTCTCATGATGCATGACATCCCGATGACTGACATCTGTTCATTTTGGAGCTCTGTCTTGTGTAGTGCAATCGTTTTAGAAATATGCCTTCCTGTCAGGGGCAGACTGAACCTTTTACTTGCCAGGAGACTTCCTGCTGGCCTGCCACTGGAGGGCCAGAAGCAGGTGCTTGGGCTTGAGCTTTAAAGAGTCTGTCCATGCTTGCCAGCACATTTGGGACCTGGTTTACCCCCTACACACACACCCCTTTTCTTCCATGCAAGGACTGCAATCTAGGGGCAAGCACAGTGGCCACTTCCTCACCTCTTCACACGAAATAAACAGTGACTGGGGAGCAGGTGGCTGTGGTGGTAGCCACAGAGGTGCTCAAAAAGTGGACTGCCCTCTTAGTGAGGAAGCAGAAGCAATGGCAGCAAGGAGTGGGTCACAGTGTACCACTGATGCTGAAACCTCAGTACCCCCTTGGTAAGCCACTACAATTGGCTTGGAAGGGATGTCATGTGATATGGACTCCCAGGGAAGATTCTGGTCCACTCTGGCTTCCTGTCATTCTCATGATACAAAGGATAAAGAAATTATTCTCCTGTCCTGCAGGCAAGAGGAATGATGGGGGTAAATAGGTTGCTGTAGCAAATTACTTCAGAATGTGCCTTTATGAGACATTAAAGCAAACATAACTGATGAATCAGCTACTTTACAGTTAAATAAGGGAACTCTACCGCTGGTTGCTAAGGTAAAGATTACCACTGTCACAGGGAGTAGCATCCTAGAATGAAAAATGCCCCCCACAAAAACTGTATCATTAATTTGCAGACTTATTACAATTTGCTCTTGCTGATTGAATTTGTCTTAGTTAAACCAACTAAATCTGTATTCGATTAATCTTCCTGTTATACTGATTAAAGCTTGCAGTTGTAATTGTGTGCTAATTATTTTTGGAAAGGCTGTGCAGTGAGGACAGCATCCAATCTCAATTAATTTCCCAGATAGAAAGTATATATGTCGGTTTGCTAGATCTACAAATCTACAAATCTGTTTATGTATTATTGCTGTGCATGCACATTTGTTTATACTATGGTAGATGGTATCAAAGAATCTAATAAGCATTGTAGCATGAAGGTGACACATAAATGTTTTGCCTTGACTTGTAGGAAATTCTTCACAAGTGTTCCCGACCTACAGAGGTGAGCAGAATTTGTCACTCACTTAATATCACATGGTTGTACAGTGAAAAGGTAGTTTCAGTAGACAAAAGTGGCTGGTTCTCTAGGTTTTGAATCTTGTAGTATCAGGCTTGTTTAGTTTAGCTCAAACATTTATTGCACAGCAGAAGCAGTAAAAAAATCCTTCAATCAATTGACCCTCAGATTCTGCATGACACTTGGATAGTCCAGAAATGTGGGTAGACAGGAAATAATATTTTCATAAAATGGCACACAACTAGAGAAAGTACAATGAATTTGGATAAGATTTAAATAATGAATGTTTTGCTTTTTAAATGTCTTGTGGAAGTCCCACAACACAGGGTTGTTTCCCACTTATAGATGTTGTTCTCTGCATGGGAGCCCCCCCCTTTAATCTGTCAATAACCCTCCTTCATTTGGAGTGTTGCACCAAGGCTGTGCATATGCATTGCCTTACCCAGGGCTCTGGCTGAATTGTGTTCTGCATTCTGTTAACTTCAGGGCTGCATGCTGCATACCCTTGCTAAGGTCGCCAGCCTCTATGGAGGGGGCTTGGAGTTCTCCCAAAATTACAACTCATCTCCAGACTACAGAGGTTGGAAGAGACAATACTTGCCCCTTTCCACTTACTGCTTTTATCCAGTTGCTTGTGGAAGATGATCTTTTTGATCCATCATCATTTATCTAAACTGGTATCCTAAACTGGATGAACTCATTTCACACTGACAGATTAAGATTGGATATTCAGCCTTCTCTCAGGGAGGGATGGTGGCATGGTATAGCCTGATATCATCAGACCTTGGAAGCTAAGCAGAGTCAGTACTTGGGTGGGGGACCACCAAGGAAAACTCTGCAGGGGAAGGCAATGGCAAGCTGGGGTCGCTATAACTCTGTTGCAACTTGACAGCACTTACGGACATAGAATCATAGAATGTTAGAGTTGGAAGGAACCTTGCAGGTCATCTAGTCCAACCCCCTGCACTCTGCAGGAGCATAGCTGAAAGATAGCCCTACAGCATACCTGAAAGATGCCAGTTTGGTGTAGTGGTTAAGGGCGCGGACTCTAATCTGGGAGAACCGGGTTTGATTGATTCCCCACTCCTCCACTTGCACCTGGCTGGATGGCCTTGGGCAAGCCATAATTCTGGCACAGCTGTTATTGAAAAACAGAGATCTCTTAGAGATCTCTCAGCCCCACCCACCTCACAGGGTGTCTGTTGTGGGGAGGGGAAGGGAAAGGAGTTTGTAAGCCACTCTGAGACACCTTTGGGTAGTGAAGGGCGGGGTATAAATCCAATCTCTTCTTCTTCTTCTTCTAAATATTAATTTGATTATGAATATAAATGCTCTTATAGTGATCTTCAGAGAACAGAAGGGGGGGGAAGAATCTCAGTGGTGTGTTGACTAGGATTTGTTAGATCTGACCCTATAATCTTGAATTGGACAATCAGATGCAGTGTAGGACCAGGCTCCTGTGTCTTGAAAAGTCATGTAGAAGAAGAAACATCAGTGGGTGTGTTATTCATCTCATGGTGTCACTGGGGTGAGAAAAACTACATTCATGAAGCTTCCTCTTCTAAACAACTATCAACAGCATAGGAGTTCGGTCCTCTGCTGCATCTTACATACCACCCTCTTTGTCATGGACTGCCTTCTATTTCTGGCTGACCCTTGACACACTGGGGTGTTCCACATAGGAACAGGATTTTGTGTTTTCCCTTCTACTGATGCAGCTGCAGAAAAAGCATAGTGGCCACAGGGCCGCCACACGGCAGGTTTCATGGCAGTTTCCCTGCTGAAATGCCCCTCTGGGCCACCAAGGCTTTTGCAATTTTTATTTAAAAACCAACACAAGAAGGCTGTCATATTAGTATACAATTGTAACAGAGGTGTAGCATGTTTTCTGAATTCCCAGCTTTCATCTTAAAAATAGTAAGTCTTTAGCCTCTTCCCTTGCAAAGGTATGACTTTTTCCTTATATCCCTACAAGAGAAGAGGCTAGAGACTTTTTAATGAAATGAAACTTCAGAGAGCTTGCTACATGTATTGTTACAATGGCATATCAATATAATGACATTCTAGTGCCTTGAAATAATAATAAATGCCCTCATGGCAGGGGGCAGGAAATGACTGCTGCGGGGACATGGTCAGGGAAAATGACTGCCACATGGGCCAGATGATCTGAATTTACTGACCCACACAGCAGCTATCCAGGTTTTACTGAAATATTTTCCAAAACTTTGGAGCAAAGCAGGTTTGAGAAAAGTCAGAGAAAAGCAGGGGACACCCACCCCCCCCAGCAGAGATGCACCATGATGTTGTGGACTTTCCAAAAGCATTGAACTCGGGGCAAATATATGAATGATCGTTTTATTGCTTGTTTTATTCTGTTTTTAGCTGTTGAATTTTGGCATTATGTGCCCATCTGTTAGCCGCCCTGAGCCCATCTGGGGAGGGCGGGGTATAAATTTAACAATAAATAAACAAATAAATAAAGAAAATAAATAAATAAATAAAATGTGGAAGACCCCAGTGCATGTGATCAGAGGCAGGCAGACCCAACTGTTATCAGTTGAAGGGGAGGGAAACATGGGAAGGGGGAGAGGCAAGATGAACAAAGAGGCACAGATTTGTAACATTAATTAAAATGGATTAAAATCTCCTTTTCTGGCTTTTGATTCAGGACTTTGTTGCAGAACTGGTTGATCGATTGAGAGGTCTTAGGAAAATTGCTAACCCGCAAAGGAAATGACTCTTAATGACAAAACCCAAGGAGAAAACACAGTGTCCTGCAGAAGAGAATTATCAGGATATGGAATTGCAAGCTTTGTCCAGCATGGTACATATTTCAAAGCTTCCATCTCCATCATTACTTCGGATTTCTATCTACAGGCAATGATGTCTTTTTGAAGAGGAGAAGATCATATGCTTCATCAAATCCCAGAGCCTGCAGTGAAAGAGTTGCATATAGCAACACTGGGGAAGACCACAGCCTGAAGTCTTGTAGAGCCACTGCCAGGCAGGATAGAACACAGAGCTAGAGAGACAATGGTAAGACTCAGTAATGGGGGCTCAAGGTAGGCATGATGGTAGCAGCCCCATATTTTAAAATATAAGACGCGGTAAGTTGAATATGAAACAGGAGGCGTCATGCAGAGCAGGCGCAGGTGGGAAAGGGATTCTGAATCCTTCAGTTATGCACCCCGCCCCCAAATCTGTCCCTACAGCTCTTTTGCCTAGTCTCAGATATCAGAAGTAAGCTCCTCTGTGGGGAAACTGATTGAAGAAAAGGGGAAGTTATGGCAGGGGGATGGGAAATGCAGAAGAAAGTGTTCAGCACTCTCTTCCCCTGCCCATTCTTGGCTTGAAACCACACTTCTCAGTTTATACATGTTTAGCATGATTTGCATGCTAACTCATGAATTATACCCATAGTTCTAACTTTTGTGACCTGTCTTGGATCCTTATGGGAAAAGGCAGGATACAAAGGGCCATGGTTCCATGGTAGAACGTCTGCCTGGCATGCAGAAGGTCCCAGATTCAATTCCCAGCATCTAAAGTAGAAGGACCAGGTAGTAGGTAATAAGAAAGACCTCTTCTTGAGACCCTGGAGAGCAGCTGTCAGCCTGAGTAGACAATACTGACCTTGATGGGTCAAGGTCTGATTCAGTATAAGGCAGCTTCATGTGCTTAATTTTTTAAAAAATAAATGTTTTTGCTGACAAAGCCACTATACATTCATTTTATTTACCTTTATAAAGAACTACCTTCATGAACCCCTTTGGAAATTACCCTGGGTTCTTAGTCCCCAACATTAAAAGAAGTGCAGAAGACGGCAGTTAAGATGATTAAGGGGTTCCCTGTGAGGAAAGGCTGAAGGATCTGGGACTTTTGAGTTTAGAAAAAAAGATGAAGGGGGGGGGGGAAAGATGACAGATGCTTACAAAAGAATGCATGGGGCAGGATGAGTAAATAAGAGAACTTTTCTTCCTTTCCCCAAGTACTAGAACTCAGAGGTGCCCTATAAACTCAATGGGCAACACATTCAGGGCAGACAATAGGAAATACTTCTTTTAATCAAGGAGCAATTAAAATGTGGAATTCACTGCCAGTTGATAGTGATGGCCGCAGTCATGGATAGATTTAAAAAGGGGGTTAGATAAATTCATGGAGGATAGGTCCATCAATGCCCTTACCTGGATTGTCCAGGCTAGCCTGATCTCATCAGATTTCAGAAGCTAAGCAAAGTTGGCCATGGCTAGTATTTGGATTGGAGACCTCCAAGGAATACCAGGGTCATGATGCCGAGGCAAGCAATGGCAAACCACCTCTGAACGTCTCTTGCCTTGAAAGCCCTACAGGGTTCACATAAGTCAGCTTTGACTTGATTGCAAAAAAAGAGTCAATGGCTACCGGCCATGGTAACTAAAAGGAACCTCCATAGTCAGAGGCAGGAAATCTCTGAATACTAGTTTTAAGGGTAGGGTTGCCAGTTGTGGGTTGGGAAATACCTGGAGATTTTGGGGATGGAGCCTGAGGTCAGGGTTTGTGGAGGGGAGGGACTTCAATGGGGTGTAAAGCCACAGATCCCACCTTCCAAAGTGGCCATTTACTCCAGGCAAACTGATCTCTGTCGCCTGGAGATCAGTTGTAATCCCAGATCTCCAGCCACCACCTGGAGGCTGGCAACCCTAGTTAGGAGGCAACATCAGTGCCTTGGCCTCTATGCCCTGTTTGTTGGATCTCCAGGCCAACTGCTTGGCCACTATGTGATTGAGGTTGCTGGACTAGATGGAACAATGGTTTGATCCAGCAGGGCTCTTCCTGTATCGTTATGAAATACCAGATTCTTCATTCTCAAGCTTGTATGTCTAAACTTTACATACATTTGCTTTATTGTTCCTGGACTCTGCTTACCCAGCAGGAACCTGGACTGCCTGTGGATTACAATAAATTAAAAAATGCTATTTCTTATATCTGAAATATCCCTTGTTTGTGAAAAGACAGGCAGACAACACTGTCTTCAAAGATTTTCTTCTGTCTCACTGTTTGCCATACCAGGACTGATATTTTAATATTAACACAAATGAACAACTGCAGCAGTCATTAGGTCTACTGAAGAAAGTACTATACAAATGTGTATTTTTTCATAGCGCTAAGAGCTATAAAATGAGGGAGACCAGCCACATAGGTATGCTTTAAAGTATTATTTGCTTTCCTCTACAGAACACACTGTGAAAGTAGCTTGCATATGTGTGTGTGATACATGTATCTATAGCCTTAGTGATAAGAGTCTATTAACTTTGCCCCCTTGAACTGTTGTGACATGATGAGCAATAAAATTAAATGAATGTCAAAGTCTGCCATGTTTACCAGTACTGTGGGTGTTCATTATTTTTCTTGCATCATTTGACTGTCTAATCACTGATTCACAGAAACTTCTGAAATATGCCATGAGAATCCTCTTCCACAAGTGAGTGAAACAAATTGAAACAGACTGTCCAGTTTGCATGAAGGATTTTATCCTATGTTATCAATAAAGTGATAACATCAGGCCTGGGTTGAATGTTCGGTCTTGCATTCTCCTTTCAAAAAAGCCATTTCAAAAGGGTAGAATTTCTAGGCAAATTTGTTACCCCAGTTGTTCTGGGGGAGGGGAAGATCTTTTCAACATCATTATCTATATATCTAATACCGAAGTCGCCCCCTGCTTGCGGATACTTATTTCCGCACATCGGGGGGGAGGGAGATGTTTGTACACACTTGGGGCAGTCCCCAAGTGTGCACAAAAATCTAAAACCTGTAAAAAAATATCGGGGGGATACTTAAATCCCCCCAAAAGTAAAAGAGTGTCCCCTGCGCATGCGCAGGGAACGCTCTTGGAACGGCTTCGGCCTCGCCACGGGGGCTGGAGTTTGCGGGCTGGAGGGGGGGTGCGTGCATTCTTTCCCTCCCCCCGGCCCACGTTGGCTTTCTGCAGGGTGCTGAAACGCAGCTGGTGGACGAAGGGGCTCCGGACTGGCGGGCCTTGCTCCTCTTCGCCAGCTTCCTCCCCTCTGTCGGCGTCGCCTCCCCCGCCCGGGCCGGAGCGTCCCCGGCCCTTCAGCTTCCTGATACGGCCGGCAGGCGGGAAAGGTGGGGGGGCTGAGGCGGCAAGCGCGCAATCTGTTCCCGTGGAGGAAGAGCCACCGCTGCCCCTGACTAGGCCGAGGTGGTGGGGGTGATGCTGGTGGAGGGAGGAGGAGGGCCGCGCTGCACTCGCCCGCTGGGTCTCCCTCCGCCAACAGGGAAGGGGGGAGGAGGAGGAGGACACGCATTCCCGTCAGCCGCCGCCGCCGCTACCAGGCTCCCCGGTTCAGCCCCGACCTCGGCGTGCAGTGTACCCCCCCGCCACCACCGCTACCACG